CAGAGATAACTTTCAGGGGGCGTAAATGAAGGGATTATACAAACTTTGGAGGGCAGCACAGGTGGCTAGCCTACAAAATGCTCCGAAATTACGCAAACAAGCTTATGAAACAAGCAAAAATAAAACATGAATTAAGGATCGCTCAGCAAGCTCAATCCAATCCCAAAAGGTTGTACGCATACGTACAGTCGAAGGTTGCTCTCAGGCAATCGGTAGTGGTCCTACGAAACAGCACAGGAGAAGAAGTGTCGTCGGAGACAGAGAAGTGAGAAATACTCAAAAAACTTCTTGAAAGCGTCTATAAAATAGATGATGGGCGCAGTTACCCGTCACATTTGCCACAGGTCCGAGCTTCTCTAATGAGCGATCTACAGATAGACAGAGCTCAAGTGCTGAAGATACTGAGTCAGTTTAAACCTAGAAAATCAGCGGGGAGTGATGGATTACATCCAGCAATCGTCAAGCCGCTCGTAGAGATTTTGGTAGCTCCCGTGTGTGCATTATACGAGAAATCCCTAAAACTCGGTGAGATACCGAACGACTGGAGGACGGCGACAGTTGTGGCGATACATAAGGGGGGTGACCGAAAGTCGCCAGGAAACTACACGCCAGTTAGTCTCACTAGTATCCTCTGTAAAGGACTAGAGATAATAGTTAGAAACAGCATAGGGGAGCATGTTGCACGTTACAACTTATTATCCCCAACCCAGCATGCGTTTCTCAAAAACAAGTCATGTCTCAGAAACCTGTTGTGCTTCCTAGATAAAGTCACAAGGAAGTTAGACGAAAATCAAGAAGTAGAAGTTTGTTACTTGGACTTTAGGAAGGCCTTCGACTCGATAAATCACCGATTGTTAGTCAAGAAGCTCGAGAACTTCGGCCTTCCTGGGAGTCTTATTAAATGGATAGGGGCGTTTCTGAACAGACGTACCTTCAGGGTTCGAGTAAGAAAAACACTATCAGCGGAGGGGAAGGTCACCAGTGGGGTGCCACAGGGCACCGATCTAGGCCCGATAATTTTCCTTCTGTACGTCGATGACTTAGTTAGGGGTTTGTCCATCCCGACT